CATCCCTGCCCCTCCAACATTGATGGACAATGTAAAAAAAAATCTGGGCCATCAGGATGTGGACCATGTGGATTAATGAAAGGTGTTGAATAACTTCACGAAATGAGTTGAAAACAAGTATTTAAGACCCCCATTTCCTCAACATCTGCATGGTCCTCGGAGGGATTTGACAATTGACCGTAACATGGTCCCTATGCTCCTCCATCAAGCAGCCCCAAGGGCATTGCCGATCTACCTCTAGCCCAAGAGAGACCAGCCAACTACACGTGGGTATAGCATCAAAAATAAGATGCCACCAAAAGATTTTTTCATGAGGATGAAAGACCAATTTAATAACCCATCGAAAATCTACTGCATGGCCAGTGAACCAAGCCGCATAAGCTAGAGACGTGACTATGCATCCAAAAAAAGGCGAGAGAAGTTTCGGGCAATCATTGATTCCAAAGTCATCCCGACTACTAGTAAAACTAACCATTTAACCACAATGGAATTAAAGGAGCCCTCTGCAGTTTTAATCGTATCTCGTCTCGATCAAGGAGAATATGTTGGGGAAAAATGGGAACGCCCTATCATGTGGTCCGTGACGCCTAAATTGATAATCCAGGGACCTAAAAAAGCAAAACTAGCGAGAACCATAGAGAAGTTACCTTGACAGACAAGAGAGGTTAACAGGCTAGAGAAAAATTGACTAAAACCAAGCAGCTTAATGAAATGTTCCACCTGACTCTTAATAGAGTATGACGAGTCAAGAATGGTCCCAATAGCAACCGACTGAACTGTTATGGATCCATAGGTCGTAGCGAGACCTTTAGCAGTGGAAGATTTGGAAGAAAACTTATTCTCCAGTTTCTCGTGGAGTTTCTAACACTTGTCATGAGTATGGTGGGGTTTGTGGAAAAAATCACATGTGGAGTAATTAGCAGGAAACAACATGACAGAGTATGGAGTACTATTGGAGACCAAGGCTGACAACTCGGATGAAGTATTTGAGTAGCCGAGCATGACAATTCTCCAGCTTTCTTCGCGAAGGATCTTGGTGAATGCTTCCCGGATTGAAGGAAGAGGGTAACAACCAAGTATAAGGCCGCAAACTTCATCTAAATCCTTTTTCAGGCCAGCCAGAAATTGAAACACATGATCGTTTTTCAAAATCTTATGAAAGAAAAGATTCTATGGGAGAGTCCCAAGTGTAGTCGTAGTAGATGTCACATTCCATCTATAAAGCAACTAAGTTGTTGTTTTAATGGGTCACTGCTTCGATCCGTGTTTAGCATTGCGGACCTTATTAGAAAGGTCATAGAATTATTCAGAATTACATCAGTTCGAGCAGGTATCGCAAACGACAGTCCAAGGGTGCTTGCAGATGGAAGAAACAGGTAAGAATGGCCAATAGAAGTCTCCATGGAATTGATTAGTCATGACATAATCATGGAGATCTCCACTTCTGGCGCGACATTTACTGGGTCACTATTCGGAGGATCTCGAATTATACCCGCGAGGTGGCCGGATTAAACCCAACTTTTGACAAACAACTAACAACTTGAGACTGCTAGGGGAAATTGGAACCGTTGAGTTTATGAGTGGTAACTAGGATATTTATATGGTGTCCAGGTCCTTTGGTCTGCAGAAGGATTGAGGAAGATGACAAAACTTTGGTGGAATCAAGAACAACATTGGAAGGAAGCTCGGAGGTGGAGGAATCAACCATGGCTCCATTGAGGAATCAACCATGGCTCCAATGGAGCCAAAGGAGAGGACTGGCTGCTGAGGCACGGAAAGAGTCGACCCCTACATCTGACAACCTTTTGGGAAGATTTTTTTATTGTATATGGAGTTCCAGCTAGTGGAGAGACTGTAGCAAGGAATTCCGATTGCAAGGAGTGCTAACCTTGGAGAAAAAATAAAAGAAAGATTTCTGCTACAGGAAGAACCCACGAAGAAGGCTGCAATGAGAATAGGGGGCCACAAGAAGGAGTTCGGCTAGGTAGGTGGAGGTCCAGCGGCTTGGGTAAGATCTCTTGCTCTGATATGATGCATGTTTGAGGAATTGAGTAAAAAGTTTTATTGATACGAAATGTTGGCTTAAATACAACTTACTAGAATCCTAAACATAAGAAAAAAATTAACTACTAGAATCATAAACATAGGAAAGAAATAACACCCATCTCTCCAAGAAAATCAAAATCAAATCAAATAAACTAAAAACAAAAATTCCTATATCTAGCCAAAAATAAAAGGAAATACATAAATAGAAAAGAAAAGGACACAAACAAAATCCTAATATAATTTCGAACATAATTTTAGTAGGTATGTCTTACATTTAGCATTATGTTTGGCTTATAAAAATTAAATAAGGATGATTTTAATTTAAGGATGATGACCTTGTTCACTTAAACCATTAAAGTGGGTGATTACATTTTGAATTAAAGGTATTACTTTTTTCTTTCTAGATCATAATATTCTTTTAATAAGCGAGATATGAGCTACACCTTACATGTTCCAACGAGGAATGTATCGGACAATAATGGGTTTGATTTAAGAATGTTATTGTCATTAAGGCTCTCAAACTATAACATATATGGTTGTTTACCTAGTAATTCCATGATGATGATATTCAAATAATATGGTCAAGAATGACTCAATTGTTATGACAAATGCTATGATTACTCCATAGTCTTCCATAATATACCGATTGTCATATCTAAACCTTCGTGATTATTGACTTATAATAATAAAACTATGTTACATAGGTTAGGCTTCGTTGGTTTTTCTCTTTTCATATTTTTCATGTAAAAAAAAATTATATCTCCTACTTGTTGCTTTGAACTTATGTGTGTAAAATCTATATACAATCCTAAAACATTAATTTTACTTCTACCACCACGAATACTTCAGGATGCATCCAAGTATGGACCACATGCAGTGTAAGCCTAGACCAACGCAGTCTTCTTCTGAAATCGGCAATGAATTAAGTAGATTTCCGAAAATAAACTTCAGCGAGCCAACCAAAAAGAGATATCTCATTCAGTGATGGCTTTCAAGAGATTTAGTACTACTGCCACATGCATGCTTTGCAAAGGTAGCAAGAAATTCAGGGAACAGATTTAGATGGTAAACTCTGTATTAGAACTCAATCGAGTTTCTTCTAGTTTACTAAAAACATATCAACTAGTGATTATCGCTCATTTCTACAAGACAAAAAGAAATCATTTTTGCTGCACTACTTAATTATTGATTATGTTTGCCATAACTTCTTGCTCTAATATGATCAGAATATCAAACAAAGGAAACTGCAGCAGTGATAAAAAAATGCATAAGTTCATTAATTATTCTGCCTAGCCTATCCGAAACTCTAGTTCATGCTCAGACATCTGCTTTTGAGGCAGGAAAGACTACTATGGAAATAATTAGAGAAGGACAAGAGCATAGTATCCATACCTGAACCACCAGGCCAATAACACTTCAAGAGCTCCTCCACACGATGTGGAACAACATAAGCCCTCTTTGATTCACTAAAAGGATGTCGGCATAGGATCCTTTCCCCTTTCTGTTTTAGGGGAAGAAAGCAATATTTTCTTTAAGTTTGCTAAATAAAGTTCAATTTTATCAATGGTCAAACTCAAATGGAGAAGACCATCCTTAAAAAATATGTATATCTTGCTTTCCTTCCTAGAAACTCGCAATACTAAAAATAAATTTTGATGCTGAAAAACAGCAATATTTTCAGACATGCTTAATTTGTCTACTAGTCTACCATGTGAAACCATGTGGCATGAAAATAAACTAATTCCAAAGTGCATGATATTGTATTAGACGAAGTTACTTTAGGAGGCTCTTCATTTTCCCCGGTCATTAAATCCAGCAGTGCATAGCCTTCTCTTCCATATAACCTATAACATCTTTTTTTGCAAGGAATCGTGACCTGTGTAAAGAAAAACAGTCAAATTTGATAAAGCAAAGAAGCGATATGGTTAAGAAACAAACCTTGGAGACATCTTCAGAAAGTTTGATACGTGGTTGGCCATTTATCTCAACTAACTTGAATACGCAGCCAAGTGCTGCTTGAGAATAACAAGTCACTAGATAGGTTCCAATGCCAAAGGCATCTACTTCATGACCCTGAACAGAAAATCAAACATTTGATCTTATTTCATCCTTGAAGAGAGATGTGATTACTTATTGAGTTACGAGGTCCCATATTTATAACTCTCTATCTTATAAAGATAAGATTCTAAATAAAACAAGTAGAATAGCGTGCAGACATGATGAATTAGCATTGCAAATGCTACTTTGTTTAATAATCTGTTCAATAACTTAAGAAATGATTGAAAATTTAAGCAGTAGGATGAAGATTGGGCATATTAAAGGCTGAAGTAGGCATATCAGCGGATTGAAGACATTAAATCATATGATGCAACCTGCTTTACACTACCAAATACCAATCAACATGAAGCTTCAAACCACCACCAGCTTCCATATAGTTAATGAAACAGAAAAGACATGATCTTGAATAGTGGAACCTTGTGGAAGTTTTACCTGCTTGTTCAAGGCATCGATGGTTTCCTCATTCAGATCATTGCTTGCTGTGATGAGTAAATTCCCAAAACCGGGTACTGCAAATTCCTTCTCTATCACATGGAAAAATTTGCGAGATTTAATGGATAAGTATGCTAGATCACCGGAGTCCAACCTAATTCCAGTTGCTTTATAACTGCAACAAGGTTTGTCAGCATTCAAGTGCCTCATTACAGTTGCTAAAGAGAATGTTGGGGAGGTGAAATCCCGGAATACTAATAAATCTTTGAGAGACCAAAGCAACAAACATCTAATTCCCTAGCAAATTACAGTATAGAAATTTTCGTAATACCTGATTAATCATGAACCATCCATGTATAATTGGCATCAAGTGTAGGTTTAATGCACATTGGCTGAATTATGTGTCACTTAAATAATGTTCCGCTAAGTTCTTGCACAGCAAATGTTATAATAAAGAAACATAAAAGAGGGATAAGGGGGAACTTCAATCAATATTTTTTTCCTAAAAACCCTCGTGAAACATGAGGAGAAAATAATCAAACATAAATTTAACCAAGTGCATACAAACATTTAAGGGTAGGTGCATGAGATAAGCGATGTAAACATGAGTAAACTATAAGCACATGACATATAGTCTAATCATGCAATGCAATCTACAAGTGTAATCATACAAACTCACAATGTAAGTGGAGAAAATTTATTGTGCTAAGGTGAGCGAATATATAAAATAAAATTACATAAATGTATTAATTGATTAATACAAGATCAAATAAACAATCAACTCAAGTTAAAAAGAAAAAAAGCATGCGAAGTTATACGTGAAAAAAAAAACAAGAGACCAAGTATTGTAATTGTAAGTTCAATGTAAACAATGAACTCAACTACACAATCTATCCACTAGGCGATCAAATACCAAAAACGCAATAGCGCGTCCACAAATAGTACAATTAATATTACAAGATCTATATACATACACATACAAATACATACATGCATATCTATATATATGTATATATTACATATGTATATGTATGTTTATCTATCTACATAATGTGTTAAAAGGAATTACCTTAAAAAATGACATATCACGGGTCATTCGCAATTTTTTGTTGGAGTTTTCTCGAATGTTAGATTCTCTGGCTTAATAATCTTTGTTGATAAACTAACAAGAGCTTTCAAACCTACTAAAAAATATTTGTCAATTGTCTCGGATGAATGCTGGAATCGTTCCATCGCTCCTCTCATTGATTCATTTTATTATAAAATATAAGGAATTATTGCTAACACTTCTCTTGTTGTCATTCTTGAGGACCCTTGAAGTCCATGATGGCTATGTAGTTCGTTAAGTAGATCCTTACATATAGGCTGTCATACAAAATATATTACTAAATCTTGTGGGGTGTCCTTGTAGTAGCTCCCTAACCCATTTATCACCAATATAAGTGAATGTCATGCATGGAGTTTGATCAACGAATGGTTTGCATTCGTAAAACAAACATATGGTCACCGCAATATTTCTTCTCAAGCTCTCTCTGTGAGTCCATGCTAAAGAAGTGTTCTATTCAGGTAATATGTATGAATCAGGCAATGTTAAAAGAACATCTAAAATCTAAACACAGAGTATAATGAGAAAAAATAAATACAGAGCAACATATAGATTGTTCAAGCTAGAAAGAAAAACATCCAAATAGGATATCCCATGAAACAAACGGAAAAAAAAACCAAAGCCACTAAACAATAACGCCACAAAATCAATTATTATTGCTGTCCATAAATAAACGTAAATAGTCGGCCCTACGATCAGCGGCATTTTCATGAATATCTATCTGCGAACTGAGTCCTCCAGCAACTTCAAAGAGTTCAGATACGACTTATCCCCATAAACTTTGAGATATGTCTACAGAACTTGAATAAAGTCATCTATGGAGGTGTAATGTGAAATACCATCTTGAATTCTGCACGCATCCAACAGTTTTATTAATTAGCTTCTGAAGAAAGCAACTATTTTTCTTTTCCTTTTCCCCAACCTAGGACGCTTTGACCGACATGTGAACTCCAGCTCCTTTGGGTTTAGGCTAGAGCCTTCACCGGACCCACTTATCTACTCGGTCTCCAAGTCCTCTGGCATGCTTGCAAACCCATGCTCACTTGGGGTGAACGCATGAGTGTCCGTTGCAACAACCACATTGAAAATATGTCCTAGCTTCTCCTTCAGGTCAAGATCAATACCACTGAATTTAAATTTCTTGGCGGCTGGCACTGCCTGCAACATACGGGCAACTTTATTACTTAAAACGTTTTAGTAGGATAAAGAAAGGAAAAACAAGTAATCATTGGTTAGTTTATTACCTCAAATTTCTCAGTCCACCAGTCCTCCGAAGCATCTATTGTTTGTTTCACTGAATCCCAACCCAAACACGTGGATTACTGTTTTAGTTCTTTCCATAATTTTCAATCATTCTTCAACTGATCCCACTTGTTCTTAAATTGCAACCTATCGTACTTCTTCCTGTCATTTCCTTGAACTTCTTCATAATATTTTGTCACCCTTCTTTGTTAAAATAAATGATGGGTTTATTTCTCAGCTCAACCTCCTTAAGACAGGTCGCAAAATATGACTGTGACTTCCCTATCCCACATGGCTGATGATCTGACTTCTTTGGTCTTAACCATTGAGATATTAACAAAGAAAAGATAAAACATTAATATTTCAAATCAACCAGAGAATAAACATTAGCCCCTTCCCATGGCCATTGAGGCAAATGACATCCCCACACAGCACACACACCCACAACCACCACCCACACACCCACACAAACAACCCCAAATCACACCCACACCCATAACCACCACACACACCCCCACATCCACACACACACCCACAGTCACAACACAACACCCAACCACATCCCACAGCCCATAGCAACAGTCCACAAAACAGCCAAACACACCACACCACAACCCTCAGGGCCCATAATAAACACAACCCCACACCACACACATACTCAAAAAACCACACACACCCATAGCCACAACAAACAACACCCAACCATAGTCCACACACTAATGAAGCACCCATAGCACAGACATCCCCACACTACTTTATATTAATGAAGCACCCATAGCACACACAACCCCACACTGTTATACATGAATGAAGCACCACAACCCATAACTCACACCTAATTTGAGGCCATTAAATACAGGGCACCCCCAACACTATCGTACACCAATGAAACACCCACAACACACACAACCCCACACTGTTATGCATCAATGAAGCACCACACCCAAACAAGCACCGCAGTCCACAACCCCCATCTAGTTTGAGTCAATTAAATATACAACAACCCCAAAACTATCATACACTAATGAAGCACCCACAACACACATCTCACAACCCTAATTTCAATGAAACACCCACAGCACACAACCCCACATTATCATACGTCAATAAAGCACCATATCCAAACCTCAATGAATCATCACAGCCCACAACCCACACCTCATTTGAGACAATTAAATATGGGGCACCGCCAACAATCCCAAACCACAGACTGCACCTATCAACACATAGCACCTAGCCATAACCCCAAACCACACACAACACCAGCACACAGTACCCACTCATAGCACATAGCACCCAGCCACAACCCCAAACCACCACACACTGCTATACTAGCACACAACACCTAGTCACAGCACCAAACCACAACACTGTTATACACCAAGGAAGCCCCACACCCATACCTCAATAAAGCAATATATAATACACAACACCTAAAATGTTGCCATCTACAAGTGAAGCATCCTCTTTCATCCATTTTTCAATTCCTAGCTCTAACATAGAAAAAAATGTGTAGTATTTAATAGAAGCGATTGCAAATAGACCACCTGAAATAATCTTATGAACAAATCAAGCACTCTTTTACCTCCATTTTACAAATTGACTAATACGCCTATGAAAGAAGCGGACTGTCCCGCGACCAAGTTTAATAATAAACCGCGAACGGGTTATTTGATTAAACAGATCGAACACGACAACCAAACAAGCCTTTGGGTGTCTTAAAAACGCACCGCACCTAATAAGTTAACCTAAACGGCCCCTAAATGTGAAGTTTGGCTTCAAGACGTGGTATTTTTGGGATATATTATTAATGGAGCTGGAATTTCTGAGGATCCTGTGAAGATTAGAAAAATAAAGAGCTGGCCGAGGTTGAGCACTGTCACAGAGACTCATAATTTGTTTGGATTAGCTGGATATTATCGAAGATTTGTTGAAAGTTTTTCTCACATTGTTGCACCCTTATCAATGTTGACTCAAAAGGTCATTATGTTTGAATGGTCCAATGCTTGTGAGCAGACTTTTCAAAAACTCAAGAATCATTTAACGACAACTCCAATTATTATCATTCCTGTTGGCACAAATGGATTTCGGATCTAGAGTAATGCTTCACATTAAGGATTGGAATGTATTATGATGCAGCATGATAAAGTTGTTACTTATATCTCAAGCAAACTCAAGGTGCATGGAAGGAAATATGCTACCCATGACTTGGACTTAATGGCAGTTATATTTGCACTGAAGTTTTGGAGAAACTACCTTTATGGCCTTTGTTGTAAGATCTTTACAAATCATAAGAGCTTGAGGTACATTTTCACTCAAAAGGAGCTGAACTTAGGACAATGATTTGGACATTCAATGCCAACCAGGTAAAGTGATATCTTCTTCAATGCTTTAAGCAAACAATCTTCAACGTCTGTAGCTTTGATGATCACTCAGGAGCACGAGTTAGCACAGGAGATGGAGCAACTTCAACTTGAGATTGTAATGACACAAGCTAATCCTAGCATGTATCAACTGTCAGTTCAGCTTACACTTGCGGACTGTGTTCGTGCAGCTCAGATGATGGGTGCGGACTTACTATAGCTTAGAGAGCAAACAAAGATTCGATCGAAGCTCGAGTTTAGTATCGATCAAGATGATGTGTTCTAGATTAGAAAGGACTCCAACAGAGGATACTTTGTGAGGCACATTCTACTTTATATTCTACTAATCTAAAAAGCAATAAGATGTATCAAGATCTTAAGAAGATATTTTGGTGGTCGAGTATGAAATCATTGTAGTTGAGTTTGTAGCCAAATTTTTGACATATCAAATGGTTAAGGCCGAAG